TTCTCTTTTAGTTTATGGAGCTGAAGCATTAATCCCAGTTGAAATAGGAGAACCGAGTACAAGATTCTCACAAGCAACACAAGAATCTAATGATGAAGAGATGCGGGTCAAGTTGGATCTACTGGAAGGCAAGAGAGAAGCCGCATTAATAAGAATGGTAGCACAAAAGCAAGTGATCGAACGCTATTACAACAGAAAAGCACGACTGCGATACTTCAAAACTGGGGACTTCGTGCTTAAAAAAGTTTTTCAATCTACAAAGGTGGCCAACGCGGGTAAACTAAGTCCTACCTGGGAAGGACCCTACAGAGTTCGAGATATTGCAGGAAAAGGAGCATACGAGTTGGAAAAAATGGACGGGAAGGTGCTTCCTTCGCATTGGAATGCAATTCATTTGAAGAGATATTACTTCTAAGGAAAAACCCACGGTCAGGTATCACTATGTTAAAATATATTTGTTTTTGAATTGTTAAAATTTTACTAACGATTTTAGATGATAGGCAAAACGCTAAACCATACTAAATGATGAGTCAAGACCTGTAAGGCGAAATGGAATAAACTAAAATTCCTGGCCCAGGGTTGCAATTATTCTGATAGAAATTTAAACGGGTTAAGCAGTCTTCATCTATAATCGTACCTCCGAGTCCCGTATGTATTTCCTTTTCAGGAAAAGGACCGAATGAGGGAAGCTATCAAGTGCTCGAGGCTTCATACTTCAACACTCAAACACTTGGGGGACTACATAATATACACAAGTATATATAAAGAGGGCAGAGAAGATTGAAGAAAAATCAAGCCTGGGAAAAAGTCAAGTGCAGAGTAATAAAAGAAGTCATGAGCCAAGGCTAAAGAAATCTTTACTGTAATTAGGGTAAAAGCTGTGTACTAAAGCAGGTTGTAAAGAAAAACCTTGCATTTATTGTTCTAAAACGGGTTATAAAGAAAAACCTCATGTTTATTATATTTTTAACAAAAAATCTGTTACAAGAAAAAATAGTTACGAGAAAGTTATAGAAGTAATTCAAGCACATGTAAAGTATTATACAAAACTTGTCAAAGTCCTGAAGTAAAAATTTCTCGAAGTTATTGCAAAAAACATGTGTGTTCCTATTTCTTTTATCGTATGATCACACCATTATGAAGTTGAGACGTCTTCTTCATTAAGTGTCAAAATATAAAAGGGCCCTCTTTTATAAACTCATGTTATTTAGTCATGGGATTAACAGAAGCATTTTTCAAAGAACAAAAATGCAGACTATTCTTTAAGTCCTTAAAAATAAAAAGGCAAGGATAGAACATACGGAAGTGCAATGATAAATAAAAGCTT